GTTCTCTGAGTGTGGACAGATGCGATGCGTTTGCCAAACTTACTTTTCAAGGTAAGACTTTGAACATTATTGCTGACGTAAGTGTTGTTTCAGCGTGTAGTAGCTGTTTCCTGGTTCATTGGTTATATATTCATCATCATCATCATGTTCCTTAGTCCTTGGACCGTTAGGGCGCAACAGATGACATAAAAACTATCCACCTCCATTCGTCTCTTTTTTTTATTGCATTTCGCACATCATCGTCTAGTTTTAGTCCCGTCCACTCTTTGATATTATCTTCCCATCTTTTGCTCTGTCTTCCTCTTCTTCTCCCTCCTCTCGTTGTACCCTGCTTGATTAATTGGCGAGCCCTTGTTTCCTTGTCACGTGGCCATGCCATTCCAGTTTGCGCTTTTTTTTACAGTCACTGCAGGAAGTCATCGTACTCCCCGATTGCCTGGCGAAACCTTTCTTTCACTTGTTCATCGGAGATATGGTCTCTACAGCAGATGCCAAGAATGCTTCTGAAACATCTCTTCTCCATCGCCTTTATTTTTCTTTCAAGATCTGCTGTTAATGTCCAGGACTCACAGGCATACAAGAAAATGGAGAGGTCTAATGAGCGCATCNTGGGCAATCCTGGAAATCAATTCGGGCTTGGAGCCTTCTTCCGAGACTATTGCCCCCGTATACTTGTAGCGGCAATGGAAATCACAGGTGTCCTTGTGTTGGAGGCTATGTCTAGCTATGAGCCACGTGACATATCTACCAAAATGTGATGATCGCGCGTTGAAATATGAGAAAGGACACACACATAAAATAAGGACACTAACTCCACCTTTGTCCATGGGTATGAAATAATGACACTAGCTCGCCCCCCCCCCCAAATGGGTATGAAATAATGACACCACCAAAACAAAACAGAATGTTTGATATTTTTTTTTCTTCTTCTACAACGAATATAGAAGTAAACTCTTAACACATAAACAATGATTCAACAACATTGCTAAACACTAAATCCAATAAACAAAAACACTGGCAACACATCCTGGTATTAAAACCAAACCCAGTAGCAAAAGTTTTATACATCTTTATTGCAGAAATATATTTTGTTACCGAAGATAGAGATTTCTGCTCAGCATATGAGCATCAACGTCACCTACGCGGTGTTCGGATGGCTGTAATCATTCTATTTTTCGGTTTCGAAGTTGTTTCAATCTGAATAAGATACCATTCCACTGGGTTAAATTCTGCAAAAGACAAAAGAGTATTTAATTGTTTAAAACGGAAACAAATACAAGAGCTTTCAGATCAAGTCTACAGCATTGATAGAAATAAGGGTGTGTGGGGGTGTGATTTAGTTATGTTTGAAAATGTGTGAATGCAATTCAGAGATGTCATTTTTTTGTAAATGTAATTCATGACTAATTTCTGTTGATAGCGTTAAGCCTGGAGAAACAAATGTGTTATCTTTGTTCATCGGCTGTCCCCCTCACCTACTTGCCATCATCAGAGAGTTCCATGAAAATATGCAGGGTACAGTGCAGTTCGATGGAGCCAAGTCAGAAGCCTTTCCAGTCAGCAGCGGAGTTAAACAAGGTTGTGTACTCGCACCAACACTGTTCGCAATATTCTTCTCTGTACTACTTCGATACGCATTCAAGGATAGCAGTGAGGGAATCTGGTTACACACCAGAGCTGATGGAGGACTTTTCAACACTGCCCGCCTCCGAGCCAAGACCAAAACGACAGATGTCCTAATTCGCGAACTACTATTTGCGGATGATGCGGCACTAACAGCACACACAGAAATTGGTTTGCAACAACTCGTGTCAAGCTTCTCCAATGCCTGCAAAGAATTTGGTCTGCAAATCAGCTTGAAAAAGACAAACATCATGGCCCAAGACACTCGACCTCCACCTAACATAAAAATCGATAATGAAAACTTGGAGGTTGTGGACAGCTTCACCTACTTGGGGTCCAAGGTCTCCAATACACTGTTCATTGAAGAAGAAATTAACAGTAGAATCGGCAAGGCAGCTGCCACAATGGCTAAACTAAATAAACGGGTCTGGCAAAACACCAAGCTAACGGAGAAAACCAAACTGTGCGTCTATCGAGCTTGTGTCATCAGTACACTACTATACGGGAGCGAGACATGGACCACCTATACATCCCAAGAGCGCAAGCTTAATAGCTTCCATATGAGATGCCTGCGTCGCATCCTTGGTATTAAATGGCAAGAAAAAGTGACTAATAGTGAGGTCCTAATGCGTGCGAATACCCAAAGCATGTTCACAATCCTTAGTGAAAGACGCCTGAGATGGCTAGGTCATGTTAAAAGAATGAGTCCCGGCCGCATTCCGAAAGACCTCCTATATGGTGAACTTGCTTCTGGAAAGAGGAAAACAGGTCGCCCACGTCTGCGATTTAAAGATGTCTGTCAAAGGGACATGAAAGCAGCCAAAATACATACAAGTGACTGGGAGTGTAAGGCAAAAGACCGATCTACGTGGCGCACAGTTGTCAAAGAGGGCGTCATGGTAGCCGAGGAGCGAAGAATGGAAGAGGCTGCAGACAGAAGAGCTAGGAGAAAGGCCAAAACATTTAGAAGCACGGAACTCGTGTGTAAAAACTGTGGTAAAGACTGTCACTCAAGGATAGGACTGCACAGCCACTCGAGAAAATGCAACCCAACCAAACGGTGATGCACCATCGTCTCACGAGACGGAAGGATGCCGATAGATCTTTGTTCATTGTGTCGTTAGAAAGGGGGAGGGGCTAGTCTCGTTTTGAATGTTCCAGGTGTTGATTTTTTTGTAATGACTTAAAAATAAGACGCATAGCATAAGTTTCCTGCTATAGGTTAAAAACATCAACCGCCGACCTCTACAGCGTATGGTTTTTGTCAGCCAGAAACTGGTGAGTTCTTATAATGCAAGTAATTGGTAGGCTACTCTCTAATGCTTCAGTTGTCTGACTTGACCGCAATCGGTTTCACTATTAGCTGACCGATGTTACAAACCGGCGGACTGGATTTGGGAAGTGGCCGCATTGTTATTGCAAGCGTTCATTGTGTTACAGGCGACGTGTTGACCTAGTTCGAGCCATGGAAATGCAACGCTTACTTTCCCAGTTGTTTTTTGTTACTGGCGCCACCAATAAACTTGGTGACACGTGATGCCAATGTATTTCCACAACCAGCCCTTGGTTGGGAAAGTTTTTTATGTTTTCAGAAGCATCTACAAAGAGAGAGAAATATTCTCTAGCGGTTGAATTTCTAGAATTTCCGTTCTAGAATTTCTGATGCCTTCATTTTAAATAAGACAGTCGACTGTGACCGGCAGATATTTAAGAGACTTACCAGACTTACAGGAGCCCTACAAAACCTACTATAAGATTTTTCACCGTGCGCGTGGATTAATATAATTTGCACATTTCTTGTTTTATCCTTTTCCATTTACTTACTGTGCTGTAAGTTTACATAAATAAAAACTATATTTATTTGATTTTCGTATTTTTATATCAACTTAATAGTACAATTAAACTGCTTATAATTAACATCATTACATTTGATACTGTTTTTCTTTGTGAACTTGTTCCTTTCTTACGTATTGTTCATCTAACGAACTAAATCTTAAAACATATTAAATTTGTAAAAGCATCTAACAGTACGTAACAATTGTGGGATAGATACATGGTACGTAACAATTGTGTGATAGACATTAACTAGTTGGCAGATCGCAATCTTCCATAATTTTGAACCGACCCCCCCCCCCAACCCAAGGAAAAAACAACAATCATCATCAGTGGCGCTACAGCCCTGCTCCACCACATCCTTACATTCGGATCGAACCCAACCTGGTGTAAATCCTTCTCTACATCGACGATCCATCTCAGTCTTGGATGACCGATGAGTCGCCTGACGTTAGGCTTCTGCCTGTATATCACTTTTGCTGCTGTAGAATCCAGCATCTTTTCAATATGTTCTGTCAAGCGCAGTCTGTCTTTTTTTTTTATTGCTTCGACTATGGATGGGTCTTTGTACAATTGGTATAGCTCCTGGTTTGTACGGATTCCTCAAACATCATTGCCTATCACTGGGCCATATATTTTACTGAGAATTTTCCTTTCCCATGCATAGAACAGGTTCTCTGCTTTTCTGGTAAGTGACCAGGGCTCACTGGCGTAAGTTACTACTGGTCTTATGATAGTGGTGTATATTGTCTTCTTTGTTCCCTTGCGATTTTTTTTTTTTTTTTTTTTTTTTTTTGCTGGGAGGCTTGTGACGTACTCGTGGGGAGACCTTATGGTCCTGTGACGTAGTGTCTAAGCTGTCTTAAGGTTCGTGCTATTCTTTTGGAAGTGGTTGATCATCGAGTGGCAAGTTTGTATTGCATTCCTCTAGCGAGCTGCACTTTGTGATGGAATTACTGTACGACCAGACGATAGATAAGTTGGATTAAAGTTTACGTTATTCTTAGAAAATTCTTCAAGATTTTTTACCGCCCTTCTTCAACGAAATTTCCCCCCTCCTCCCCCCCACCGCCCTTCTTCAACCAAATCCCCCCCCCCCCCCCCCCCCCCCAACTCCTGATATAAAGAGAAAATAACACATTCACGCTTTCTGGAACTTGCGTTCAGTTGTCATTAAAATAACACGAACGTTTGAACAAACAAACAAACAAACAAACAAAAAACCAAATCAAAACAAACGAAAACCTCAGAGGAATTGTCAAGTGTGTTGTAAAAAAATTATTTTAAAAAAAAAAATGTTAATGAAATTAAAAATGCCTGAGCCCTTGTGGACGTTGATGGGTTGTGTATGCGAGTGTCCACTAGTCTACGTCTGAATGTCCATGTGTCTTGGTGTCAATGTCATTGTGTCTAATGTGTCGATTTCTATGAGTCTATGTGTTAATATACATGGGTTTGTCCATAATAGAAGTTAACTTTTTTTCACATTTCTTCTTTAGTACTAAAAACATAGACTTTTAAAAAATTAAAAATAGGGACTTTGCCTTTTACATTTTTAATAAATAAGAAAACTAAGTTTGAAACGTCTAAATGGAAAGCTAATGTTTTTAAAATGTTAACGAGGATACAATCTTTTGGAGGTTTGTGGGCTTGAACAAGAACATCAAAAGCAGTACCCGATTGATACCGTTTTCTTTTTGTCATCAACTCATCCTGGTGACCTGAGGGGTTGTAATGAAAACACAAAATATAAGCATTTCAAGAATCTCTGGATGTTTAAGCAACCTATAATATTTAATACTTATATGACAATACTGATATCCCTATACGTATATCCAATACTTATATATTAATACTTATACCCCAATACCTATACCCAATACTTACATCCCAATACTTATATTCCAGATACGTATATCCAATACTTATATCCCAATCATTATATCCAAATACGTATATCCAGTATTTATATACCAATACTTATATCCCAAATACGTATATACAATACTTTTTATCTCATTAAACCAATAAGGGTGGGCAATGCTAAGTAAATTATATAACCTATATTCTCTAAAACGTATATCCCATTACGCCAAAATGGATTGCAAAGATAAGCAAACAGTACTAAAATATTCCGCTCATATTCCCTCCTTATTCCTTCAACTATTCCGCCCCTATTCCGACAATATTTGTCAAATATTCCACCAACATTCCGCCAATGTTCAAACCCATGTTCCGTATAAATCGCTCCCCCCCCCCCCCCCCCCCCCCCCCCCCCCCCCTCCGCCCTTAAACTTTGCGAAATAAAAATATCTAAAGTATTTACTGATCAAATTAGAACATTCAAAATGAAATATTTCGACATTTCTTTCCATTTCTTATCAAACATATACTGTACTTTTATTTCAATTTATTTGAAGGCGATGCATTCATTTGTCTTTCTTTTTAATTCTTTTTTATTTCCTAGAAGACCAAACTTAACATTTAAAGGGAAACAAGTATTAAATTTATTTTTAAAAGCAATATTACAAGGATTATTTTACTTGTCGATTGAAACGTGGTTGACTCGAGTAAATCGGTCAAAGCTACATTAGACAATTTCGATAGTCTTGATGTCGCCTGCAGTGGTCCAGTGAGACCCTGTGGAAATGACCACTGCCTTAATCGAAACAAAAAATTCCAATCTATCGATTGTCTCTTTCTCATGGTCAGCACAACCAGATAAATAAATAGCGCCCCCCCCCCACACGAGGATAAGATTTCTGTCCATTGTCTCTGTCTCATGGCCAGCACAACCAGATATCAGGCTCCCAAGGAGGCGAAGAGTTCTGTCCATTGTCCCTGTCTCATGGCCATGACAACCAGATATCAGGCACCCAAGGAGGAGAAGAGTTCTGTCCATTGTCCCTGTCTCATGGCCAGCACAACCAAATAGCAGGCACCCAAGGTGGCGAAGAGTTCTGTCCATTGTCTCTGTCTCATGGCCATGACAACCAGATATCAGGCACCCAAGGAGGCGAAGAGTCTGTCCACTGTCTCTGTCTCATGGCCGGCACAACCAGATATTTATTGAACCAGATTGATGTGATCTTATAAACCAGTGTGCGTCGTTGTTTGGGGAACAGGTTGGCGTGCTGGAATAACACCATGGAGGTGGCGCAGCGGCATCCTTCCCCCGACACCGCTGATTTGAAGGGTGGGTTGGCGGCCCTCACTTGCACCGGTTATGAGCGACAGGCCGGCTGGAGGCGAACAAGTGATTGGCCGTGAACTACAGAATGCAAGAGGGTCATCACCATCAAACCCTGGACGGCACCAGAATGGAATGTGTGTGGTAAAAGTATACGTCAGACGGCAGATGAAGCAACCAAGCTACGCCACGAACGAGAAGTGGAATCACCACTATTCCAAGACACACTGCTGCATGACAAGCCGTTTCCCCATGACAGGTTCCTTGCTATACCACAGGACTTACGCCCGATGTCATTGCGTTACAACAGCGGGTCGCAACATTCTTACTCGCAGGCACTGACGACCTTACCCTTGGCGTTGCTGGTGTAATCGCAGCCCGGGGGGGGGGGGGGCGAGGGGGAGGCTTTTTTTTTGCCGCTCTCCTTTCCCGAAATGTCCGCTACTGATATAAAGAGAAACCGTCTGGGGCGGACACTCTCTGCGCGCCCCCCCCCGCCCCCTCTCCCCAACGACACTGCCTGTCACAAAACGGAAGGCGAAACCCTATTACCGCTGTCACAAATCCCGTTTGATTGAAATCAACACTTACCAGTGTCCAACAGTCGTGCAGTGAATGAAGGATCTCTGGATAGTTCTTCCACCAGGGACCACACGACACTCTCCCAGTTCAGAGGTAATCTTTCAGGCCAAGCCTGCACGTCAGCGTCCCGTACAACTCGTGGTCTGGAGACGACGGGAAGCGTCGCGGTCATCACACCGGAAATGACGAGATTCAGAAGTACCAGAATGACAGTCGTGGGGACCGCTGAAGACATCTTGTATCAGGAGGTAACTCTCAATCAACTTTGGGGACAAACAAAATAATACATCTTGAATACACCGATGATATTTTTTTACAAATTATCAGCGTGCCTCCAAAGTTATTATACAATCAAGTTATTACCGCCCCTTTTACAACCTTCCTTTAAGTTAATATTTTCATCATGGAAGTGAAATTTAACATCTTATCGATGGTTGGTTCCTGAAATTGAGAAATGCTTTTAAAATGTTTAAGTTAATTTTTTTCCTCAGAATATTCAATCAATCATGTGCCGAAATAAAACGAATATTTACTATGTAATCAAAAAACATTTCAATTAATTTGGATCAATAAAATATTATTATCTTATTTCTATCTCCTCTTATTAATATATCATGTAAGTATAAAGAGCGTTTAAAGAAATACATTTCAGCCGAATTTTTTTTTCACCACTCTGCATTTGAGCGTACTGAATTCATTTAAACCTTTTTTTTTTTTTAAAGAGTCGCAGTTAATATTTGTGTAAGAGTTAAGGTTCGCGTCCCCCCCCCCCTCCCCGGGGAGTTGACTAATATTCCCTCCCCCCCCCCCACCAACCCCCACGAAAAATCACTGCAGAATTGCGAAGATTCCACCCCCTTGACCTTCCTTAGTCAGAGTTTATTTGTAAATATAGTGTTTACAAATATTTACTTCAATTCTATATTTTGTCCAGTCACAACCTGCCCAAAAGCCAAACTGCCACAAACATCTCTGAAAACGTAGACTTTGCACTATTTGTTTTTTTTAAACGTCATATATCAACAAGAGTTCCGCTCAGTTAACGTGCATGGATTAGAAAGCCAATTATTCGTGCTATCGTGGCGTTCTTATGGCGGTATGAATATCCAATGAGCTACGTCTCAGTGCGACACAAAGTACGTGGGGGGGCTGACCGGAATACACTCTTAGAAGGTGTATGTAATTAATTTATTACATCTACATAATCAGCTAAAGCCCGTAAAATCTGTAAATCTATCAAATATATTAATATATAGCAATCTATCAAAAAAATTGAATACACCCTCTAAGTCAGGCCTGCTCAACATGCGGCCCACAACATACATGGGCCCGCCAGCACCCCCTCTGCGGCCCGCGAAGTAACGAAATATTCTTTATTATTATTATTTCCTTAATAGCTTTCCCGACCGTCCTATTTTCTGTCGGCCCGCAAAAGCTTTGCATAAAGTATGGCGGCCCGCCTTACATTTTGAGTTGTGCGGGCCTGCTCTAAGTGTTTAAACTTTATTTATGTATATATATTTATGTATTTATTTACATATATATAAAAAATTATATATCAATGGTAATTTGGCAAGGCTCTGTATTTGCATACACTTATGTTTTATATAATTTAATAAGTCTTAATAATCGTATTTAATCCAAATAACCAATTAATCTTAATCTGTTGCACTTGTATAATACATTAAACCTAAATAAACTATTGAAAATTATAACTGTTAAATTTAAAGTACTTTAAAATTCATTTAACAGTATAAATAAGAGCAGATTTCCTCATTAAATTCAACAGTTTCTTGAAGAGCAAACAAAAATTAATTTGAACAAAGTCAATGATCAACTCACTACTTCTGGTAACGTCTGCTCACCCTGTTTCACTACTTCTGGTAACGTCTGCTCACCCTGTCTCACTACTTCTGGTAACGTCTGCTCACCCTAAGAGTGCCTCAATGAAAGAACTCCCACCAAGCCCTAAAGCTTTTTATAGCTTGATTCACAGTATTCGACGTCGGAGTCAAGAGTGCTTTCTTGGCCTATATCGATACCAGCATCGTACGCCTGCCCTAGATGCTTTACACTAGAGTGTTCCATTTCTGGTAATATTGTTCGTGCTCAGTGCCGATTCTGTAGATATTATTGTCGGTAATAGTGTTACGCCAATTTTATGATTTCTATTTTTTTTAATATAAATAAAAACCTCCCATTCATGAGGTCATAGGATTGAGACGCGGAATGTTGGAGGTGTGTATCATGAATGTAAGGGTTAACCCGTTCATACCCCCCCCCCCCCCC